GGGATGACTCATTTGTGACTATGACTCACAGAATTGTCCATGTTCTGATTGTACATGATAATCGAGCGACAACAGTCTGATCTGACTGGTTGCCAAACATTGTCTTGGCCTGGTCAATGGGCTGGAACAATGGAAACAAAGTTTGAGTGTTCTGAGATCACAGCGACTGAACGATTTCATCTAAGATCATAAACTTGAAGTGATTTCACCCTCGGTATGGAGATTCGACCTCACTGGCTCCCAGCGAAATGTGTTTTACGAGGAACGTTTTATTCAATTGACCATGCTAACGGGCCAAACACATCTAGCCGAAGGACAGGATTGTTTTCTATGTGGAATCTTGGAGCCTCACTCGTCGTCAACTACCTCAATCTTCCGAACGGGCCATTTCTTCGAGCACCAAAGAATGACCAAAGTCAGGACAATCTCCAACGCAAAGAACATCGTGGCCATCTCGTATCCAATGGGGAACTTGGGTGCATCACCTGTGTTGTACACCAAAAGTGGAACCCACGCCTGAAAAGTGAAAGCAGCCGTTTCCACGACGCCAATAATAACGGCGCGGTGCTCTGCAGAATGAGAACACACCTCGTTGACCCAAGTAATGATAAGAGCCCCGGCTCCGGTCTCGAGGAAGGTGAGAATCCATGCGGCCATCATAGCTGGTATGTTATCCTCGGGATATACGCTCAAGATTATCGTACCAATGATGGAGACTGTACAAGCAACTATGACAAGAGGCCAACGAAGACCAATCGCGTCACTCGCCCACGCATAGGACAACGTAAAGAAGACCTGTGCTCCATAGCCCGCCGTGGGGATCAGATTGATTTCTTCCGGCGTGAACAGGCCTGTGGATTTCAGCCACACGTTGAAGTAGGCATAGATGCGGATACCAAGGACATGTGCTATGAAGATGGCACTGAAGAGCCAGAAAGGCCAGCCCTTGGCGATGTCTTTGATGGTGCGCCAGGTGAGTTTGCGGATGGGTTCCCGGCCGCAAGCTTCCATGCGCCCGATGGCCATTCTGCGATCGTCAGGCTTGAGCCACCGGGCTCGGGACGACGTCGGTTGATCTGGGATAGCCCAATAGCCGTAGAGACAGACTGGTATGCCGATGATACCTGGAATTAATATTAGCTATTGCTGAGGTGACTGGAAAAGACAACCTTCATACCGTCAAAGATGAAAAGCCATTGCCAGGCTCTAACTCCCTTGCGGTAGTCCATACCAGCAAGGAGACCAGCCTGGAGATACCCGGAGAACATCTGCGCTACAGCAGATGAAGCCTGGAAGATACAGGCTCTCTTCCCAAGTTCTTGTGGCGTGTACCAGTTGCCGAGGAGAGTCATGATTCCAGGATAAGCCGATGCTTCCATTAGGCCCGTGATGAATCTCAGGGCGCAAAGAGTTTGCAAGTTTTTCGCACCGGCCATGCCCATGACGACAAAGCTCCAGATAAGCTCCAGTGACGGAAGCCATATCGATGGGCGGATGCGTGTCAGAATCAACTGGGAGGGCAGCTGGCCGATGATGTAGCCGATGTTGAAGAAAGTTGTAAGATAGTTCAGATCATTGCCGGTAAGCTGCAAGTCTTCTTTCATGCCAGAAACGTATGCATTGCTGCGTGAATAGTGTTAGTCAAGCTGTTATAAGAGGTGATGGTTAGCCACGAGATTCGCACCTGACGTTCGTCTGGTCAATATCTGGAAATTTGTTAGCGACCCATCACATCTGGGTTAACCCACGTGAATGAAAGGACTCACACTTGACGAAATATGCAACACAACAATACGACAAAATCCACCAGTCGATCTTGGCAATGAAACCTCTTTCTTCCGGTGTTTTGTCGAGACTATCCCACACAATTCCTGCAATTCTTTTTCGCAGAGACAGTTTTGACTGGCGTTGGCCGGGCTCGATGGTGACGGAAACGACATCCTTGCCGTCAGTGGTTGACGTTTGATCCATGTTGTCGTGATCGCGTTCCTCGACCCAGGTATGAGTGAAAGCAACAGACCAACGAATATCGTGGTTCTTGATCAGGAAATCGACATCGGTGACAGTCTTAAGAGTATGCTCTTGACGTGAGCCATTGGTTAGCGGGCTGAATTCTCTTGCAATAGCCAGCCAGTGATGGCGTCAACCGCCACAGTCGGAGAAGCCCCGACAACTACTCTCTTTGACGGTCGCATCGAGAATTAATAAGACGATTTCGACTGTCGATGTATCCAATTGGAGCTCCGATTCTGATAACCTGTCGCATGAATGCGACAGGCTGATATGGAGCAAGCTCGGGTTTAAGGTGGCAAGAGCACAAATCCCACGTGGGATAACAATACCCGATGAGAATCAAGCTTCCTTCCAAGAAATTTCATGGTGATTATCTTCGGGCCGACGCCGAACATTCACGTCTTTATCCCGATAGCGATATGGGTGGTCGGCCTTTGGCTTGAAGATACCTTGTACAGTGGTCGGAGGCAACCACCGAATCGGCTTCAATGCACAGAAATAATGATCCAATGGGGGGAAACATGAGAAGAATTCGAATGCTGATGGTTCAATTCGGCATCGCAATTGCGTTATCGAAGGATCCGTTGAAACCCATGCCGTTTGTGGGCCGATTGCCGCTCCTGGGAATTCTTACCGGACGTTCCCCGACAGGCTGTTAGTATGCCGTATCTCTGTACTAGGTCCCGGTAGAGCGCCGGTGGGATCTCTATGATGGCTGCTACTCACTCTTGGGATTTCGAACGTTGATTCAAGATTGAGGCCTCGCCTGAATATCATAGCTTCACCTCCTACTTCACTCCATTTGAATCTAGCCGACAGGGAAATACTGAAATCTGACACCATTCTTTGGTCCTCGTCAACAAGTTAAACACCATGGTGACGGAATCGGAAGCCCGGGCAATCTATGCCTCAGCCATTCACTTTGATGGCCTCAACATCGCAAACTGGGGTCGCGACATTTTCGAGTCCTGGCACAAAGGAGGCATCACAGGCGTTTCTTGTACCTGCGGCCTCTGGGAAGGCCTCCGCGGTAGTCTCGCCAATGTCGTACAGTGGAAGCGCTGGTTCGAAGAACACTCTGACTTGATCGTGCAAGCGCACACTGTTGCCAACATCCGCGCTGCCAAGGAAGCTGGCAAGACCGCTGTGCTGCTCTCATGGCAGAACACCTCCGGCATCGAGGACCAGCTCGACTACCTGCGAGTCTTCAGGGACCTCGGAGTACGCAAGATGCAGCTCACGTACAACACCCAAAACTACTCAGGCTGTGGCTACACTGAGGCCCGGGACAGCGGGCTGACAGGGTTCGGACGCGAGGTCATTGACGAGATGGCTCAGCTTGGGATCGTGTGCGACCTTTCTCACGTCGGACCGCAGACGTCGGAGGACGTTATCGCGTACGCACCCGATGGCAAGCCGCCGTGTTTCTCCCACATTCTGCCTGGGGGGCTGGTTGATCACCCGCGAAACAAGTCAGACCATTTGATCAAACTCATTGGCAGCAAGGGTGGCTTCGTCGGGTTGTCACAGTTCGGGCCACACATGCCCAAGGGCAACGACAGCACAATTGACGATTATGTCGATGTGCTCGACTATGTTATCGGCCTGATTGGGGAGGATCTGGTGGGCATTGGGTCAGACTCAAGCGAAGGGCACGCGAGGCCGAGCGAATTTCTGGAGTGGTGCAACAAGGACAAGGGATATGCGAGAAGGCTGACTCCTTGGGGAAGCCAAAAAGTTGTCAAACCTCTGGGTCCGTTGGCTGATCGGGCGGAGTTGGCTGTGGCAATGGCAAGGAAAGGCTGGAGCGAGGGGAAAATGAACAAAGTTCTTGGCGAGAATTGGCTGAAATATCTCGAAAAGATCATTGGATCATAGGTTTGCTTTTGATTTGCCGTATAAAGAGATTTAAATTGAAACTGACTGAGTTGCATGCGAAAATATGGTGGTCTCGCAGAATGATGGTGGTCAGCATCAGGCTGCGAGTGCGAGGGCAGGTGTTCTATTTTTGATGGCACATTAAAAAACATGACAGACAGCCTTGTCGGCTCCTGTCAAGACGAAGATAATTTCCACTCTCGCTGTCTCTCCTTCTCTTCCTTCTCCTTTTCGTCCTTCACCTCCTTCTTCTTCATCGGCCAAACAGTGTCTTTGCTTGTCCAATGTCTGCAAATCACACCCTCGCCATAGAGCTTGTGAGCGACCGTTATGCCTTGGTCAACGCGACGTCTGGCTTCACCTGGCCAGAGGCGCTAAAAGACACATTACCCAACGATGATTCTCAGTCTTTGACAATAAAAATTGCGAATCAAACGTCTTCCGATTACTACTATTACTCCGATACCACGCAATACAACTACGCCAAACACTGCAAGGATTCACTTTTCTATCCTCCAAGCAGAGTATATGACTGCGCTGCAATCGCAGTATCTGCAATTCTAGTGCAAGAAGGCGGCTATAAGACTGACCCGGGAAACATCCAAAAGGCGAACCAAAGTCTGGAATTTGGAGACCTAGACTCATTCGATGGATTTGGAGTTATCCGGCAGATTCTCGAATGTACGCGGTCATCTTGTCAAGGTCCCACAACCGAACATGGTAGATTGTTGGAGGATCAATTTGGCCCCTGCGGAGAGGATATCAAGGACCTACCAGAGAGTTTCAGTAAAGTCGAAGATTTATCCAAGATTCTATCCCCGTTGGAATCTCTTTGCGCCCAGGTCACGCGAGAGCCAGAGCCGGATATCTCAGGCCCAGGTGTAAGTTCAACTTCCTTCGCAGATGGCCCTCATTCGTAACGGAACTTTTAGATCACGATGGCCTACATCATGCAGATTGTCTTGGGAGCTTGGTTCATGCTGTTTTCCACCTTGATACCTCAACGCCCAAAATATTCCTTCGCTGTGAAAATAGCAAAAGCTGTGCGCCGCTTGAAGAAAGGGGGCCATAGGCAAGGAGCCTCTCGTGAAGGACGTACCGAGGCCTGGATGGAAAGGTTGCGAGCTTCTCGATTCTCCGTGGCACTTTTCTCGTCTCTCGTCGAGTTTCAAGAAGCCCAGGTCTTCTTCACTTTAGCTGTGCAGTTGGCATCCGTGTCTATGATGGTTTTCAACGATTCGTTAGGTGCTGTTCGAATCGATTGGAGAGCAGCTAAACTTTTCCAAGCAGGAAACACCCTGGTTGTTCTTCTTGTTCAAGGAGAACTGCAAAGGAGAAAAATGCACTGGTGGTATACCTATTTACTAACGTTGATAGTGTGCGTTTTCTGCCTTACGATTACGCAACTTGGTACTGAGACTGAGTACCCTGGCTTCAAGGAGCTTCCCGGGTGCGGTAAAAGTACGGCGAGTATACTCGAAACTTGTCGGTCCGGGACCTATAGTAGTGAAGGGTTCCAAACAGATGCGATGGCAGGGTACTCGACGTTCTACTTCACCACAGTGTTGGTTGGCATAAGCTTCATGTCTTTCGACCAGATCGCACGAATCCGTCGTCTGCACGACTGGGTGGCCCAACGAGTGGAATCCTGGCGAGAAAAATCTCGAGTTTTGAAATGGATGTTCAAGACCGCATCGATATTTTGGAGTCTTTTCTGGTTTTTCATGAATTTCTTTTTGGCGTATCTTTTGTTCGGGACGACATACATCATCCTTCACAAAGTCGGAGGCACGCTGCGCAAGAAGGACAAGTGGACCTTTGGGCAGATCGTCGCGGTTCTGCTGTGGGCCCCAGTAGTGTTCAAGTACCTTTATCTCAACACATGTAAGTCCCCTTTACACACAGGTCGTCGACTTTGAACCATGCTAATCGTTGAAGTCGGTGTCAAACGAGGAGTCGGGAACCGAATAGACAACCATTACGAGGTAGTCAAAAAAGGCCAGGATCAGTCAGCCCTAGGACCATCTCAAGAATCCACGGACGGAATACCATTGACTAGCACCGGGTACAAAAACGTCCCGAATAACGAAGATGGCCGGGAATACGGAGGGTTGGAGGATCCAAGGACGCCGAAGTGGGGCCGTCAATATTCGGCCAGCAGCCGGGACGGCGCATCCTCGGTCGGGATTACAGAACCGCAAAGCTTTCCTTGGTCAAACTCTCGATGATTCTTTTCTTTCCTTGCGTAATCGACGGACCAATAATTACATGACCTCAGAGGAAGCTTGCGAGGCGCGGTGGTGAGGATTCACATTTTCATACTTTCTTTCCCCAAGATATTAATCTGCATCCTAATTGACGTAAGCCAGCCAATTTCTGTGTGACAAGACAACAGAACCTCTATCTCACCTCATACGAGCTATGATTCTTCAAAACACCCGCTCCCCGTGTGATCCCAAGACATGGCAAAATTTCAATTACGCGAATGTGTGGACGTTTTTGCCTCTTGGCGCGAAGTGCTTATCGCCATTGAAAAACGTCAACTGACCACCCTTCAACACATTCATAAACCAATATTGTAACCCTTGAATGATGTTTGCTCATCACGATAGGTCCAAACATACCCGCAAGCACCCATCCATCTCAGAGTTGGATATCAGAAATCAAGGCTTGACCGCTTTCAACCCCGGTGAACACAACCCCTGCCCGGCACCCAAGCCCGCATTTTCAGATCTCCAACGCCATATCAGAACCCACCCATCCCCGAGTTCCCACGATGATGACAAGAAAAGAAAAACAGAATACTCTCACTCGCACTCACACCCACACCCCATTCAATCAAAATAGCCTTTATTGAATCCGAGCCCTTGCCGAACTAGGGAGGTGCGGATCAACCGACGCCAAGAAGCTAAGCACCCTAAGGCAAGCCAAGTCCCCGCATCCGCAGCTAAGCACCCCGGTTTGCCGTCTGCCTAAACCCACGCGACGCGGTCTCGTATCTCGCAAATAAGAAATGTCTCACGGCCGATGCCCGCGAACTTCCCCAATAACTCCACGCGCAAATTGGCTATCGCAGCGAGCTAGACACGGGGACGGACGCGCCTGGTAACACGAAAAGTGAGAAAGGGTGCAATTTTACAAATCTCACATCAGCTTTCAAAGAGATCCAAGCCTTTGGTTGTGGAGCCACGGGCCGCGATCTGCACGCCTTACCACTGGTCCCCTGGGTCATATGTCGAAGCGGGATGGCGATTATTCAGACACATGCAGGAAATGCCAATATTCGGAACAGGGGGTATGAAATGGTGCTAAGGCTAGCTAGGTTTCGCAGCTGGCTAGACCAGCCATATATGTACGAAGCACTTGGGTAATGACGATGAGCGGAAATGAAGGGTTTGCTTCATGATAGGACTTATAAATAGCTGTCGAGATCCGCTCAAAAAATGTGTAAAGATCTAGAGTCGCAAGGCCTCCAGCGAGTCAGTCTTCATTTCCTTCTTTTGAACGAAGATTGGGACACGCCATGAAGCTGCTTCCTCCATTCCTTGCGATCCTTGGGATCGGGGCCGTCGCCGCTCACCCGCACGCGCCCGGCAGTCTCGAGACCCGGCAGAGCTGCTCCGGGCCCGTGGAGACAAGCCCGCAAACGTGGTGGCGCGCGGCCATCGGCCACAACGGCACAGCACCGACAAGTACGGACCCGACGTTTCAATACTACCGGACGGTAGTGCAGTATGGTGCCGACAATACCGGCGTCCAAGATTCTTCTGATGCTTTCAATTGGGCTATTGAAGGTGTGTCTGCTCACTGCTCTCACCTGCCCTGGGATATACTGACCAAATACAGCTTGGAGCCGTACTGGAAACACCGTGACAACTCGTCCGGCGTACGTGTATATCCCACCGGGAAAGTACCGTATCAAGAAATCGATCCAGATGCTCGTCACGACGTACCTCATCGGCGACGCAGTCAACCCGCCAACGCTCATCGCCGACTCGGCGCTGGGTACATCGCCCGTCATCAACGGCTACGACTCTCATCAAGGCGACGGATCGGCGACGAAAAACTTCTACATGGCTGTTCGCAACATCGTCATCGACACAAACGAGATCAGGACGGGCGTTCAAGCCGTCGGGCTGGACTGGTCAGTTTCGCAGGGCTGCTCTCTTACCAACGTGAAGATCCGCATGCCAAACTACTCGAGCCACATTGGCATCACCATGAACGCCGGCGGTTCTGGCATCCTGATCAGCGACAGTGTGAGTGTCTGCCCACTCGGATTCTATCATTGAAATTCTGCTGACAAGACGGCAGCAATTCGAGGGAGGCGCCATCGGTATCAGGGTGAACGGTCAGCAGTACCAGTTCAAAAACCTGAGCTTCAATGGCTGCAACGTTGGCATCTCGGTCAGCAGCATCTTCGTGGCCGTTGTTCGAGGGTCGACTTTCATGAACTGCAATTTTGGCATCGACATGGGCCAGGCGACAGCCGGCACCGTCTCGCTGGTCGACTCGAGCGTTCAGGCCTGCAACGCAGGTGTGAACCAAAAGAGCACTGGCTATGGCGAGAACTCGCTCATCATCGACAACTTCCAGGTCACCGGCGCCGCGGCTGTCAAGTCTAGCGATGACGGCTCAACGCTCCGTTCGGGTTCTGTTCCGGCTGGTCAGACTTGGGTCATGGGGTACGTTAATTCGAACAACTTACAAAAGGGCACCACATACCCGATCGACAGACCGAGTGCTCTCTTGTCCGGTGAAAAGTACTTCACCGCGCCGCTGCCTCAGTATGAGAAGTATGCCCTGGATCAGTTCATCAGTTTGAAGGGTGACCCCTCGCTGCCAGTTTACGGCGACAACTCTCATGATGATGGACCCAATATCAACGCGATCCTCCAGAAGTACAGGAACTGCAAGATCATCTTTGTCCCACAGGGCATTTACCTCACCCAGCAGACGATCTACGTCCCTCCCGGAACGAGACTGGTCGGCGAGACGCTGAGCATATTCAACGGCAACGGCTCGCGTTTCTGGAACTCTGACGACCCTCAGCCCATCCTCAAGGTTGGCAACTCGGGAGAGGTTGGCATTGCGCAAATCAGCGATATTACCGTCGAGGCGGCCGATGTACTCCAGGGCGCCACTTTGGTTCAGATTAATATGGCTGGATCAAGGCCTGGGGACGTTGGTATCTGGAGTAGCGTCTTTCGCGTTGGCGGCACCAAGCACTCGCTCGCCAACACCAACTGTGGTGGCTCCGACCCCGCCTCCTGCAAGGCCGCCTTTGCCCTGATGCATGTGACCTCCACGGCTTCTGCGTACCTGGAGAATGTCTGGGGCTGGGTGGCAGACCACTCCTTGGACGGTGGTGCGGCGCAGAACATCGCCGTCGGCAGAGGCGCACTCATTGAGAGCACCAAACCCACGTGGCTGGTGGGAACCAGTTTCGAGCATTGTGTCTTGTATCAATACAACCTCCACAACGCCCAGAACGTGTACATCAGCCTCCAGCAAACCGAGGCACCTTATTGGCAGGGCGAGGGAACGCCTCAGCGCGCGCCGTCTCCATGGTCGTAAGTTCCCCAACCCCCAGTCGTCCCGTTTGGTGTTTCGTCTGAGACCGGCACGGGTGCTAACCCAAATGAACAGCGTCAAATCGGCCTATGGCGATCCGGACTTTAGCAACTGTGCGGCTCAAGGACAGGCCAACAACGACCGATGTTTCCGGGCGTGGGGTCATTACATGACGGGGAGTTCGAAGGTGGTCATCCATGGTTCGGCACTGTGGGTGTTTTTCAACAAGATGAACGATAACCAGTGGCAGAATGCGCAATGTGAAAACACAGGAGGCAACTGCATGACGAACCAGGCCTTTGCAGATGGGGCCAAGCAGACGTACTGGTTCGGGTTGAGCTCCAAGAGCAGCACGAACCTCTTGTACGACAAGACTGGCGGTGAGGTCTGGCAGGTCGTAGCTAGCGACAACCCTGGGTCTTGGGGCGGCGTGCTTGCTGCGTACCTTCGAGATACTGGCGCTTGAGGAGCCGCGGCTGGCTGTGCGTCGTCACAACGGATCTGCAGTCGAGGCAGACGCTCGTCCTGAACTTCAGACAGGGGTTGCATGTCTTGGGGGCGCAGGAAACCAGAGGGTAGTGGCCGTGCCAGGTCGGTCGGTTGTGGTTGTAGAGTCCCAAAGTTGGAGTCGGACGAACTGTCAGAATGGAACGTCAGTGAACTCATGTCAAGGTCAAGATTTCTTTGATGCTTCTGCCGAGGTCCCTTTGTTGTCTTTGTCTTGAGTGTTTGTGATGCAGTACCGCACTCGGACTCGTTCTCGTCGCAGCTTCCCAATTGGGTTTTGCAAGTCTGGATATCCCTCCACCTAGCCTCACTTTCCCCTCCCCTCGGCTGCTGTCAAATTTCATGTTGGAATTGGAAGCCGAGATCTGCTGCGTGGTTGGATGTTTGGCAGGCATCGATCAAAATACATGGCGATCAAGATCGTGGCGTAAACATGCGCGAAAGCATGAATCGGGCGCACGTGGGAAGTGAGTCGTTCGATTGGCCGCCGTCGGAAGTCTGTTTCGGAGCAGGATAGCTTGAACAGCAGGGCAGTGTTGTCTCTGGATGTGCGTCGACTTGTCAAAAACGGATTGGGTAGTGTGTTCGTTGCCTCGTGTTTCTTTGATGCCTCGGTGTTTGCGAAACAACTTAGCTTGGAGGCGGACGTCTACGAAGGGCCTGGAAGGCATTCTCTGTGGCTTGAAAGGATGTGATGGGGAGGGTCCAGATCCATGACCTCAATGCATTTTCGTTATCCGTACCAGCACCAAGAGGTGGCTTCTCCAGGTTCGGAAATGGAGTCATGGGAACTGGAGAATGAAGCAATTGCGGAGGACTGCTGCGGTTGCCTGTGCAG